GGGGGGATGCCCAAAGTGGGGTCACGCACTCTAGTCGTTAGAAACTTATAGCGCTTCTAGGTGTGTTTTAGTGGTCACCCAGAGAGTTCCGCACATGCACTCCCCTAAAAATAGTGGGAGTGGGTCCTTAAAGCGGGGTGCGCTGCGTTACGATTCGCCTTCTCGCGATCCTGGAAGGTGATCAGGGGACACGCAGTGGAAAGACATCGTTTGGCGGGGTCGTCTCGTCCATTTCGTCGGGCATTCTGCCCACGATGGGACCTATAGCTACAGACGAATCTAGGGCGCGGCTAGCTAAATGATTAACTGAGCGGACGATTAAACGATTGACTTGCCGCTTTTTCCTTTTTGACGCCAATGCATCGGATCCCCCGTCCGGTAAAGCGAATGGATTCTTGCTGCATTTGAAGCCTGCGACCCGGATGCGGGGCTGCGACCAAAGTCCTGGTCACCAGCTCACCTATGTGCGGGCCCCCGCACATCCCACTGTAAAGCCTCCAGAAGGACCTGCAGTTATAGCGCCTCCGGCGCGGAAATACCAGAAAATCCATGGATGCAGGGAGTCTATCAAACCGTAGACCGCGTGGGCGTGGCCACAAACCTGACTTTTAAGGCATAGAGCAGCGCAGTCACGGAATGCCACACAAGAGTGAAGCCACAGAGTGGAGCACAACGAGATAGCATCCACCATTTAAAAACAGTTATGGTCTGACCAGCGGGATCCACTGGACGCAACAATATCAGGAGCCAAAGCCGTAGGAGATGCAAGGACCTACACCAGGTGCAAGAACCTGCACCCAGGTATAATGAAGTCAAACCGCCAGCACCGGAGATGTAATGAAGTACAAACGGGCATGTAACAAGTAGAACTACCAATCTATACAAATAAATACCCCACTGAGAATGGGTGAAGGGTTTAGACTAGCCTCGCAAGGTCGTCTTCTCAGCCAAAGCCAAATCCATTTTGTCCGTATCTCCATTCCTTTCCCCTTGAGAAAACAGAGAAGCTTTGATCCCTGTGACAGCATTCCGCAATTCCGTTAAATTTCCAGATCTGCTTGCCTCCTCGGCCATTCCCGTAATGTGAGCACAGACGTCCACAAGCCCAGGCGGAGCATTTTGCCTGACGTCGGCCGCCAGTGTTGCTATGGCGGTTTTGTTAACGCCAGAAAGTACATACACGACTGTCTCAGCTACTTTCGGATACACGAGAAGAAAGAGCGGTGATAGTCCTGCAAGCGTCATCCAGCGCCTGCTGGTTCGTCTGCGTCCACGAAGCGCACTCCTAAGTGCTGTCATCAGCGCGCCCCGGAAGAAGGGAGTAGTCAAGGCAGAGTCCCTCTGAACTACGCGCCCCGGGTTGATGCCCCGCTGGAAGGGAAGGACGCAGAGCAAGCTCCGTCAAGGCCTCGTCCTAAACGGACACGTTCAGAGGTCGCCGAAGGCCGTCGAGCCTTACGGCAAGGGACGCGAACGGCCACGCAGTCCCCAGTCGCAGCCCTCACTCGCGCCAAAAAGCGAGAGCGGCAGGAAGAACCTGGCCCAGAGGGAGACCAAGAAAGGTCCGCGACCGCTCAGCCCCGGGCAGAACAAGAACTGCTGGCAGAGGAGCTTGGAGCTGGGAGAGTTGTTCATGACCAATTATTCCCTCGCCCTGTCATTATTGAACTAATGAAGGACGAAACGGCCAGGGCCGATGAACCAAGCCGAGCGATGTACCAAATGGTCAGGCGGTTGCAAACGCAGGACCAGGAGGTCGTCGCACTGCGTGCTTTGGTGAAGGATAGCGCCGGGATCCAGAGAGATCATGCCCAGAAAGGCAAGGCCACCCAAAGAGGTGATCCCGTCCGCAGAGACGACGCCGCCCAGAAAGGCGATGCCGTCCGCAGGGACGAAGCCACCAGGAAAGGTGATGCCGTCCAGAGGGACGATGCCGTCCCCAGAGACGATGCCACGCGGAAGCGTAATGCCGCCCGAGAAGGCGATGAGGCTCGAAGAAGCCGCAACCCACATCAAGGCTATTATGTTAATAAGGACGGGGTCCTGTACTTTAGAAGCAGACTAGTCATCCCGTCACAAGGAGCCCTCCGAACCCAAATCCTGTCCCAACATCACGATGACCCCCGAGCAGGACATTTCGGAGTGCACAAAACAGTGTAACTAACCCTTCCAAGAAATCAGTTTGGACTTTATCACAGGTCTCCCCGACTGCCCAACATCGTCAGGACAAACGTACAACGCTGTACTGGTAGTGGTGGATAGGTTTACAAAATTCGCCAAGTTTATTCCCACACGCAAGACTTTGTCGGCACCTTCACTTGCCCAGCTGCTATGGCAGCATGTGGAATGCCAGTTCGGTACCCCAGAAGGCATCGTAAGTGACAGGGATTCCCCGCTCACTAGCAACTTCTGGGCCGAATACCGCAAAGCCCTGCAATCTGCGAAACGATTGTCCACCGCATTCCACCCCCAAACAGACGGACAGACAGAGCGCACCCATTAAACACTCACGCATTATTTGCGGACATCCATTGACAAGGAACGGTTTGGATGGGTAGCGGTACTGCACGAGGCCGAGTTCGCGTACAATAACGCCAAACATGAAACCATCGTGTCAGTCCGTTCGAAGCCTTGTACGGCTTTAACCCACGTATGTGCGAGGTAGTGGCCGACCCAGCCCACATCAAAGTCCAAGGGGTGGTAGAGAGACTCCGGCACATTAAACGTGTGAGGGAAGATATGCGCACGAACCATGTGCGCGCAGTGGAAGACCAGCGTCGCTATTACAACCAAAAGCGACAGCCCCAAAAATACCAAAAGGGGCAGATCGTGGGCTTGTCGACCCGCAACTTCAGGTTCAAAGCAGGACAGCGCAAGCTAGCACCCACATACATCCGAGTACCGATCATCGAGCGTGTGGGCAGCGCCGCATACCGCGTCCAGCTCCCAGCCAAGTATAGCAGGTTGCATAACGTGTTTTCAGTAACACTGTTAGAGCCATGGGATGACTCTCGACCCCGAATCGCCCAATCCGCACTTCCGGATCTAGAGGAAGAAACAGAGGACCGGGAAGTCGAAGACATTGTGGACACGCAGGAGGACCATGGTTCGCGCTCATTTTTAGTCAAGTGGGCAGGATGGCCAGCGGAGTACAACACATGGGAACCGGAAGAGCACTTGGAAAACGCGCAAAAGATGGTTAAAAACTATCTGAAAAAGAAACGCAAAACACACCGCAAATGGGACGACCCCCCCGCAGGGCTTGGGGGAGAAGAGTAGAGAGTTCCGGAGGACCCTCCCCCGCAGGGCTTGGGGGAGGAGAATGGAGAGTCCCGAGGAAAGAGCAAAACGCCAAACGCCTATTCGAAGGGAGTGCCTTTAAAGACAAGCTTCCCTTTCGATCTCAACCGCAAGCTATCGACACCGCCGCTCCACACAAGACCGTTAGCCAACCGCCTACTCCTCCTCAGTATCGGAATCGGCCCAAAGGGCCGAAAGGCCCGAATCGGAGTCGTCCGCATTGCCGACTTCGAAATCAGCAGCCGAGTAGGGCTGCTGGGACGCATGCTCAACGGAGAACTGCCCATGGACAGTATCGATCTCCTCGTCGGACCTATCCGACTCAATCCAAGGCTCGCTGAGACGACGCCAGTGATGGTCTAGCGAGGGGATGGTCCGGATACTGAGCGAGCGGTTGTCCGAATCAACTAGCCATATCAGCACCGGGCGAGGGTCGTTGGACGCCAAAGCGACGGAGCCCCGATTGCGAACCCGGGGCAGACTCAGGTCGTCCAAAAGATTATTGACCATGTCGAATTCGTCGGGATTAGCAGTATGGCCAATCCAACCGAAAGGAACCGAGCGTCCCGGCTGCCACTCGTAGCCGTGGGAAACCAAATAATGAAGCCCGCCCACTCGGTCTCTTTGCTGTTCCGAATTCACGCACATCTTTTACCGGCCATGACAGCAATCGGAATCTAGCGCGACAGCCGGGCCATGTCAGCGCCGCCGCAACATTGCATAAGGGAAGGGACCTTGCATACACATCTCCAAGTACCTGAAGGTGGTTGATCCCTACTTACCTTCCCGAGTGAGGCATTGGTCTCTTCGGTTTAGGCAGCGACTTAGAGCCATGATAGTTGCACTCCCGCATACGGCGGCGACATCTCTCGCTTGAGGGAGAGGCCATGAACGTAGCCGGTGAGCTTCGACCTCGGGCAAATACAGCACCCCGAAGCCCAACGCGTTGGGGAGGCCGGGGATGGCGGCCCGCGGGGCCAGAGACGGATGCGCCGTGGGTCGTGTTGGTGTAGGGGGCGACGACGGTTTCGTACAAGAGGCTAGCGAAGGCGAGGCAAGGAGGTGCTCCTGCCAAGGGGATGTGATGGCACGCTGCGTCAGGACAGCACGACGTTCCTCGGCATCGCTGGCCCGGCGGCATGCAGAGAGATGCTCCGGATTCCGTCGTGAAAGTCTGCGCCGATGACGGTGCGTGTGGCCAGCACGGGAGAATGCACATCTGGGTCCCTGTCATGTTGAGAGGCATCGTTGTGGTCGATCCGTCCTGCCGGGAGCGTCAGAGCTGGCTTCTACGTGCCTACAGGCGCCCGAGAGGTAGGGTCGCCTGGTGCTCGAGACGGCCATTTCTCCGGTGCCGCTCCATATCTGACTTCGACTCAGGGGCACAAGAGCCGACTTCGGAAGTCCGCCTCCATCGTCCTTCCTTCCTCCTGTAGATGACGTCCTAGGGCACTACCGCCGAGGATGGCGAGCGGGCCGGGCCCGGAATATTGGCGCTGCCCGGAGACGGCGCATAAGGTCACACTCTGGCTGCCTTGGATCACGACGGCCCCCCACGCTAGACCTTGCATCCCAGATATACCAGGACGGCCTGAGACAACTGAAGGTTGTTTACAAGCACGAGTACGCCCTTGCTCACCACACACGTCACTCAGTGTCCGCACCCGGGCGGAGTAGAATGCCATTAGCCAGCGCGATCGAATGCTGTCCCGCGCATCACTCGCTTCATACCCGGCGGCGAACGGCGCCGAGACCGAATGCTTGCTGAATACCACCGGATTGCTGGACCAGCTACGCCCCGCCCGGGTACCTAGGTACCTAGGTAGTCGAGCGCCTGGCGAGGCCGTGATGGCAGGACTACTACTTGTGCGAGCAGAGCTCCAGGAAGAGGTGGCCGAAGGCGGCATACGCGGGCCAGGTCGTCGTGTAGCAGCTTCCGGTGTAAGACTGACCGTGGGCGGCGTGCTTGCTGAGAACCGGCGAAGCTTTGGTTGCGGTCAGATTAACGGAGGCACGAGGGCCTTGCATTGGCACTACGAACGAAGACTATACACTGAAGAGAAATGAAAGGAAATGGCGCTCGTCGCGCTGGCGCGGTACGCCTGAAGTTGCCGCGATCTGTGTGACTTGCATGCTTGTATCTGCCCCAAAGATCCCACAGCTATGGCGGTGCCACTAGACGTATGGCCCGTGGCGGGACCGTCGCGGTTCGTACCAATATATTAAACCCAACAACGAGTACAAGCCAAGGACTTGTATCTTCTCCCCTTTGGCCTAGTTGGATCTAGCTTAGCTAGACGTTGCCAGAGTTGTGACATGAGATACAAATTAAGACTCGCTTGCGCGTGAGTTCAATTCTGGTAGTTGTCGCGTTCCCCATGACGGGTGTGACGTGCTCAAGGGATAGCGCTTAAGGCTGGACAGGCACTGTGCCTTTATCCAGCAGCAGCCGGGCGGTTTCCGTATGGCCTTTCGATAAGGCGGCTTGCAGCGCGGTACCGTGATAATCGGCCTGCGTGCTAACGTCGGCGCCCTTGTCCAGCAGCAGCCGAACGGTTTCCGTATGGCCTCTCGACGAAGCGGCTTTCAGCGCGTTGCTTCCGTAACCGGCGCCCCGCGCGTTAACGTTAGCGCCTCTATCCAGCAGCAGCCGGACGGTTTCCGTATGACCTCTTATGAGGCGGCTTGCAGCGCGTTACCGAAACGGCCGAACCGCGCGTCAACGTAGGCGCCTCTATCCAGCAGCAGCCGGGCGGTTTCCGTATGGCCTCCCCATGAGACGGCTTGCAGTGCGTTACCGTAATGGCCACCCCATGCGTTAACGTCGGCGCCTCTATCCAGCAGCAGCCGGACGGTTTCCGTATGGCCTCTTAATGAGGCAGCTTGCAGTGCGTTGCCAAATTCGCCACCATGCGCGTTAACGTCGGCGCCTTTGTCCAGCAAACATATAGCCGCCTGTTTAAATCCACCGAGGCAAGTATAGTAAAGCCTCGATCCCGTTGGAGCTCCTGGAGATTCATCCCAGCCTCGATCAGGTTGGTATAGTTGACCCCAGAGGCGAAAGGTTTTGCCATCTTGTAGAAATTCCACCGACATTCGAACAATATCTTTTGAAACTTCAGCTTTAACAGCATGCGGCATCCACATTTCCGCTGCGCGTCGTGCCAGCGGAAAGCTTTTTTTAATTTCGCGGTGAGTATCGCCAATGTCCCTTAGATAACTTAAGCACGTTTTTGTAATAGAGATGCTCGCAGTTGTAATTTCGAATGAGGGTTGCTTGAGAAGGAACTCCTTGACGGAGAAGTGAGCAAGGTGCAGTTCTGGAGTTGCGGTTGAACCTTTCGTAGAAACAAGTGCAACCATGCCGGGGCAATGTTCGGTGATAGCTTCGTCGAATGGTCTTCGCTCATGGTTGAAGCCTAGGGGTTCCATGTCGGTCTGTGTAGCTATAACGTCACTAGCTTCTCCCAGTTTTAAAGGCCGATCGCAGTAGACGAGAAATTGCAGTAAACGCGTGGCATCCTTTTTGCGCTCGTTTGGGATGCTGTCAATTATCCGTTCATACGTTTCCTCGAGATTGCGTGGTAATTTTTCCAGAGCGTCTTTCACCTCCCAGATATTGGCACAAATGGAAAGGGTTTCCAGCTGGCAAAATGCCCATCTGAACCTGCAGGGAGTTAGAACTTGCCACTGTGTGAATCCGAATTCTCAATATATACTTACATGCCCTCTGCTCCGTTTCCAACGCGATCCTGAATCTTCTTTTTAATATCTTCGGGCAGCCTTTTGCCCACAAAACGAGAATTGTTTTCGAGCGTCGATTTGACATATGCGCAGATGTCGGCGTTGACGCCCTCCTTGTCGAGTGGTAGGCAGTTTTCTTTGCCAATCAAGGAGTAAATCTGGTCAAAGTCGGATTCTGGCCGACTAGTGAATATCAGACGGACGTGCTGCAGCTCTGACTTGTTTAACATCTCCTCAATCCACGCCACAAGTCGTGGCCTCGTTGTCGACTCGTCAAGGGCATCCAGAACGATAAAGACCTCTGGCTGAGCTGCAAGCATCTTACAGAGCCTCTCTATAAGGGTCTTTGCCGTTGGCTTGTCGCTGGACTCTGGTGGTGCGCCCTCGGGATGTTGATAGGACGCAAGTTGCCACTGGTATGCCTGAAACACCAGTGCTCGTAACATGCTGTCGAACGTTTGCTTTGCTTCATCCATAAAATCGAAAAAGAATTTAAGGATGGGACGGCCGTCGACGGTGGCAAGTTGGTCGAGAACTGTGGCGCTAAGAACCGTTTTGCCGCATCCAGCAAGACCATGCAGCCACAGATATCGTCGTGGCCCGGAACACCATTCCCGAAATATTGATGATTTGAGAAGCCATTCGCCGGTTCCAGGGTGGCGGAGCTCAGCTGCACGGTTGGCATTTGTGGACACATCCGCGGGAGCTAGCCATTTCTCCATTTTCGTAATTTGGGCGTCGAAGTTGAGGTGGTCGACTTTGTCATTTGTTGCCTGCGAGACTTCTCGTATGCGGTCTAGCTTCTGTCCAACTGGTGATACCATAGCCATTATAAGTATGATGATATACACGGTAAAATAAAGGACTGTTACGCACCTGCGTCAAGCACCTCTTTGATCCTCTTCTCCGCCGAAACCTGGCTGGGCACAATCTGCTTTAGGAGATCCTTTGCGTAGGCTGCCGCCATCATAGCTGCAAAACCCTGCCACTTCTTGTTCTTGTGCGAATCCGAATAGTCACAGATGCCCCTAATTACCAGGCAGGGGAAATGATTCATCAGGCCTGCGGCCTCCATCTCGAAGCAGAGAATGCCATGCTTTGAGGCGAGCTCGTCCCTCATAACGGCGTCCTTCATTAGCTGGTTGCTGCTGGCAATCAGACCGTAGTGCATCGCCGGATCCTTGTCGTCTCCGTCGCGTCTTGGTGGGGTGGCGAAGTGCCGCGGGTCGCTACCGCAGATGTTGCTGCACTCATCCTCATCGAGAGAATCATGGGCTGGCAGACCCTGGCGGCGCCGCTCGCGGGCCACCAGTGACAGCGCCGCCACCGTAACCGCCGAAGCCACCAAAATCCGACCTCTGGCGGGTAGGAGCAGTATCTGGGGCAGCAGCAATGTCGGCGCAAGCAGTAATGCCGCTACCAACAGCAGCGGCCAAGGGCGGATCGTCGCGGCGACACGAGCACCATGCACGATGTCGGAGCGATACAGCCTGTCGCTCGAGGCAGGCGGCCGAGAATAGTCGTTTCGAAGGCGCTCGTTCCGCTCAAGCACACGCTCGATTTCGGCCAGTAGCTGATGCCCTTTGCGCTGGTGTTGCGCTATGAGCTGGTTGACTGCCGTCCGCACCAACTGGGGTGGCTTGTCGAGGACCCCCGTATGAATGAAGTCCTGGTCTTGGATCCTTTTTCCGTGGTCGTACGGGAAGACGCCGGGCTTGTCTCCCCTTGGACTGCTGACGACGACGTCCCCGAGGCGTATCTTGTGCTCTCGACTCGGGGCACCGCCGCCGATGCCGACCATCAGGCCGATGCGGATGTTGGGAAAGGTTCGAATCATGTCCCTCGCGACCGTGGCCGACGTTATCGTCCCGTACTCTCCATCAGGCAATTGGGCTATGACGACGTTGTGGTGGCCCATCCTGCCCAATGTGTAGGCGTTGTTGTCATTTCGGCCGACGCTCTCGGGCATGTCGTGCTGCTCGTCGAGAAATTCCTGGGCGGCGACGTATTCGGCCGTGACGGCCGCGATCCAGCCAACGGTGTACTTGTTCACGTCCGACATTGAGGGCAACTGCTTTGGAATGGAATGGATTGTTAATTATGTATTTTAAAGTATAAATGTCGGCTGGTTGAGGTAGAAAGGCGGTGGAAGCAAGCAGAATTGTGGGAAGTGGGAATTGTAGGAGGTGAGAATAGCTGCGAAAGGTGTTTGGTACCTAACACGTAAAAGGGAGAAAAGGAGAGAGAGAGACACACACACTAGGTCGGCAAAAGTCTGCCCTCTAGCAGCATGACCCAATGTCGGGCACTCCGGCCTATCAGCCCCAGCCTGCCGGCTTGTCAGTTATTTTGGGGTAGGACATAAAAGATGGGCGAAATTGGGCAGCAATGAGGTGGCGTCCCCGGGCAGGCTGCATCGAGGGTCCCCGAGGCAAGGCGTACTCCACGGCAGACAGAGCTGAGCTGGTTGGATGGATTGCACACCATACGCGGCCTGGTGCGCTGCAAGGATGCGGGGGACGCTCGTTTCCCGGCCAGGCTCTGCCGCTTGAGATCTTCCCCAAACCTAACCCAAGTCCCGCAACTCCTGCCCACCTCGCTGCCACTCTTTTGTCCGAATTGCGATTGCGGGCCGTCTCGCTCCATGCCGTGCCCCGGATTTCAGGGTTGCTCCCTTACCAAGGTCGATTTTTTCTTTTATCAAAACGTTCCCAATGACATTGTTATCTTCCTTGGCTGCGGGGTCGAGGTGGCCCCTCACCCCTCTTGGCCTAGAAGGTCCGCACGCTGGTCGCAGCACCCATGTAGAGGCGAGGCAAGTCTGCGCAGCACTACAAGGGCTGCCGCGCCATAACAGTCGGGAACGAATAGGTAAGTACCAAAGGTCCCGCTGGGGATCACGCGCGGTACTCGTCGTAGCCAGAGTAGCAGAGTTATTGGAGCTACTCAGGGATGGCTTCAGTAGCCAGGCTACTGAAGCGACTTGAAACTTGCCTAGGAAAAAGAACAAGTACAATAAGGAAGGATCTCCTTTATCTCTAAATAGTTCTGACTGAGGCTTCGGCATCAGTCTGTTGAAATATGCTGGCCATAGTTCAAGGTTCCTTGCATTGCTGTCTTATTTAGCAGTGCCCAGAGAGGGGTGGGAGAGGCCATGGCCTTATAAGCCAGTGCACCCCCTGTTGGCAACCCCCCTGTGTTACGACCAGTGCGTAGGCCTCCGGGGGAGCTGGGAAGGAAGGCCTCAAGTAGTCGCCTATACCCCGCACAATCCGGGCGAGGGAAAGGAATCAGGGGGTCACGTGGCCTCGTTACGTAACCCCAGGCTATCACCTTAATCACCAAGCTGAGCGAGAGGGAGGGCGCTCTTTCCCTCCTAGCATCTGCAGGCTTAGGTGCCTTAGCACCATGTCTTCAATCGACATGGCCAACTTGCGATGGTCTTCATGTTAGTCGCCTTCGTAGTCGCGCAGGACCTGTACGGAAAGCTTCTCAACTTTCTGGTACACCTCCTCGTGTACATCGACGTTCCGCTGCATCTCCTTAAGCAGCTGTGAATGTCGAGCCGGGCGGCGCCGTCTCCGGGTGGGCATCGTGCAGCCGCATCCTTTGCGGGCTCATTAGGGCCTGATCG